TGTATGGAAATATAATTTCAGCTTCAGATTCTTTCTGAAGAAGCCTTATCCAAACAACCAGAGCTTGCACCAATCCACAGGAAAAATGAAACAGTGAAGTGGTAAAAATATTTCTTACCAAATGTATAAGCCAGATTTTTCTATAGTCAAGCTTTTCCTATCAAAGGGATCTAAAAGGAAATAGACAACTGAAACAAGTTTGCATTGTTTCTCAATTCATGCTTCTGAATTGCATAAAAAGCACTTAGGAGAACTGATACAAAGTCACACTCTCTCAGCCTCAGAGGATGGCAATGACAAACCCCCTTGTAAAAAAGCTTGCCAAGAAAACCCCATGACAGGTTTGCCTTAGGGTCACCATAAGTCAGAAATGACTTAAAATCCATAACAACAAAGTATCCTTTCTTATTTTCCAACCCATCCCATTAGCAATTAAAAAATTCTTCAGCCTTCTTGTATTTATTCTTCAGTCAAAATATAATTCACAAGAACCTTCAAAGATGAATTCATTGTATTACTCCATTCAAAGTGACTTATATGTATGTATGTATATAATTTGAAAATGGGGGCTATGATTGCTAATTTGAAGAAAGATGATTTAACAATTTGAATGTCTGCACTTTAACAACTTGGGTATCTGCAATATGTATTATTTTTATTTCTAGTGTTCATTTCATCATCTATTGTTTTGTTGTCATTATTATCTTGCAGTTTATGGTTTTAATTTCTTTCTACATAATCTACAGAACTTTGATTCTTAGAGCAAAAAATATTATTATAATTATACTTAATTATATTATTAATTATATATTATGCATATAATATTTATATTACATATTAATTACATTATTAATTATGTTATTATATTATACTTAAGCACCCCTAAGCAGTTTACAATGTGTAAGCTAATTGTCCCCAACAAGCTGGATACTCATTTTAGCGACCTTGGAAGGATGCCTGAGTCGACCTAAGTCCCTGGCTGGTATTGAACTCATAACCTAATGGTTTGTGAGTGAGTGGCTGTAGTATAGGCATTTAGCCACTGCACCACCAGGGCTCTTCTCAATATCTCTTCTCATATTATTTTGCCCATATTTGTTATTAAGATATGTGTCTTTGTAAGACTCAAAATTGTATGGTGCAAAAACACACAAAATCATGAGCATATTCAAATGAATGCATGGGTAGTAATCTGGACATCATCTAGACCAGGGGTAGACAAACTGTCTCCTTCAAGGGCCGAGGGACTTCAGCTCCCAGAAGCCTCAGCCATGTTGGCCAATAGTCTGGGATTCTGGGAGCTGAAGTCCCTCGGCCCTTAAAGGGGACAGTTTGCCTACCCCTGATCTAGACATTGCTACTGGCAAAATTAAACATGTTCAGTTTGCCATTTCCCTGATCCCAGTCACCAAGTAGCAGCCAATGAGATAGAGCAAGAATGTGGAAAATGTACATCTGTCCATAAGATAGACAGAAAGCTAACTTGATACTTACTGTGCCTCTGTGTAATTGCAGTATCTGTACACATACCTTTGTGCATTATTTCTATTATCCTCATAATGCATAGGAAAAAAATAAAATAGGAAACAGCCCTTTCTGATATGAGGGGACTGATAAGGGTAAGAAATACAGCATCTACTAATATTATATTGGGAATATTTACCTTTTGGTTTTGAATTTTTCAAGATGACTGTAATGAGTTCTGGAACATCAAAGTACGCAGCATAGTGCAAAGCATTCATGTTTGTCCAACGGCTCCTCAAATTGATATCTGCACCCAAATCAATCAGTTGTGAGGCAAATTTGGCAGCAGTCTCTACATCTCCTGCAAAATAGGTATTTTTAAAAAATATTTTATCTCTGGCTCAGCAGGTATTTAACAGGCTATAGCAACACATCAGATAATCAAGTACTATGGCCAGAGAAAGCTGGCAAATTTTCAGCAACAATTACAAAGTCAAAGCACTCCTAGAAAGATGTGTCTTTACAAGACAGCTCTGAGGTCTACCTAGGGGGCAAGAACTATTACCTTTGAATACCATAGAAAATTTCCAGTAAAATTAAGTTTTACTGTGATACTTTCCACACATACGTTCAACAACAAAAACAACAACAAATCAGTATGTTGATTTTGCATTAGTTTCTACAGAGAGATGCCACTTTCGTTACATTTCTCATTATAATACTGGCATTCCCATTCCATCCTAACTCCAAATGGGACTGAGATTTCTTTTTCTTCTCCAGCAAGAATCAGTGCCTACTGTTGTGTGAATTTTTCTAATATATGCATTTTTGCACATTTTTTGATCAATCTAAATGTATCTGTGGACATTTTTCACACAATCGATTTTAATTATGGACATTTTTCTATTGCATGCACATTTTCTGTGCATACATTGCAAACTTTACCGATGTACAGATTACCATGTCAAAATATGTTCTGTTCTACTGCCAGTCTTGGTAGTGTCTAATATATATTTCCAAATGAGAACCAGAATCCAACAAATTTATTTTCTACTCCTACTCACAACTAAGATCTGTCCCTTCCTTTCACAGATGTGAAAACATTAACCATGGTCTGTGTACTGAGTATCACTGTTCTAGCTCCCAAAGGCAAAGGGCCAAGAAAAAATCAAGAGACACTTGGCACCATGAATCACAAAAAGAAATGGTTCAATGCCAAGATCAGACTTTTTATGTTAATACAGATATGCCTCTTGATTACAAGACTAAAAGAGCTAAAAGGCAAATGCTCCAACTCAAGTGGTTCAAAAATTACAAGCTCTGTATATATAACAGCATGCAAACGCTAGAACTGAAAGCACTCACTTTTAAGTGTCAAATGACTTTACAAAGCATCTATCAGCACTTTATCTTGCCAAAGCATCTATTTCATGTGATTTTAAAATGACAAAATGTTAAATTTCCTTTCCAGCTGCATTGTGTTTACACCTCAATAATTTAAACTTCTGCTAGAGAAAGACATTTATCACTAAATGCAGGGTACAAGAAAACTAACAGAGCTATAATTTATGATACAGAAAATTAGATGTAGAAATCTTATAGAACTCTCTCTAAAATGCACAACTGAATTCTGTGGCAGATGACTACAGTGAAGTAAACATATATGAGCCTCTTAGCTCCAATTTTAAGAAGGGGATGGCCTTGTAGATGACCAAAAATGTCCAGACATGAAATGTTGTTGAGAGAGAGAGAATGCAGACATATTGCTAAGAACACTTGATCAGATAGTGAAAACTCTCTCTTCCCCTCTCTGTCTCTCTAAGCCTTCAAAAGTGTTTATTCCATCTACCCATATAGGCTGGTTCTTTTATACAGCTGGCTGGACTTTTTTTTTTTTTCATTTTTCTCTGCTGCCCAAAGGTGGTGTTGCTTCACTTGTTTGACAGATTCTTTTATTGTACTTTTGTAAGCTACTCTGATGGCCCTTTTGTGGACATATAAAGTAGCTAGCATGGTGTAGTGGTTTGAGCCCTGGACTATGACTCTGGAGACCAGGGTTCAAATCTCTGCTCGGCCATGGAAATCCACTGGGTGATCCTGGGCAACCTGCACCCTCTCAGCCTCAGAAAACTCCATAGTTCACTTTAAGTCACTTTACTGTTGCCATAAGTTGGAAACAACTTGAAGGCACACAATAACAACAACAAAGTGACTTACAAATGTTAATATGAATAAATAATATTCTCACAAAGAAAATACCTGAAGCAGCTCTGGCAAGCTATTTCTACACAGAAATACCTCCATCCACACATTTGAACAAGGAGGACAGCATAATCAGGAAAAGGTAGTGATAGCAAGTACATTTCTATACTGCTTACCAACATACTAAGCAGTTTACAAAGTGTAAGGTGAAGAAGAACATATACCTCTCTTGCCATGAAGGACAATAGCCATCAAAAATACCTCATTTCTTTTCTTACCAATGCCATGCGCTCCTGACTTGCATGTGTAATGCAAGAGAGTCATATCAGTCAAGCCATCTCTGTCATTCACATTGCAGCCCCTCTTGATAATCTATAGAAATGATAGATCATTATCACTCTGATTCAATGACGTAATACATCTTGCTTTCAGACAAGTAAAAGGATCCTCATGATGCCTAGCAACATGTTTCATCTTTATATATTGCCGACCAGTTTGATCAAATAGTTCCCATCCACAAAGACATAGCAAACAGTATCACATCATTACCAGTCTACACTCTATTACATTCTTTACATTCGTTCTTCAATTAGTATCCAATTGTTGTTGTTTTTTAAATGCCCAGTTCATGTAAACCTGGAAAGCCCTATCTCACCTCCAATGATCTTTTTATAGAATTCAGTCAATAGGGATGCAACAGTGAAAAAACTTTTGATAAGAGAAGTTTCCAAATGAATCCCAAACAACAATGCAAACACATTTTTTTAAAAAAAAATCTCCATACAGTCCTTACCTCATTCCCAATGACATCAATGTTCTGCTGAACCTGGGGGACCCACTGTCTTAAAATGGCAAATAGCTCTGAGACAGATGTTTCAGGGCTGAAAAGAATTTCCTGGCATGCTGCATCATTAGGATCAAAAAAGGAGAAATCTGTGGGAACAGGAAAAAAGAGATTTAGTTACGGTAGATTCCAAAGGAAGGGAAGGTAGGAAAAGACATCCAACACATTTGTGACCTGCATATTTCCACACTGTATAAACAGTTAGCAAGCCTCTGAATGAACAGGCAAATTCTCAGTGCTACATGTTGCCTCACTCACACAACTGTATAAGAGGTTCAGATGACATTGTCTGCCATATGGACCCCTATGATGTTTTCCTATAATCTCCTCAATCATTTTTTCTTACCACAGAAAATCCATTAAAAAGGGAAAGACAAAATAGTTGCCAAATGCTTGACTGGTAGGTTGGGACCTATTGGCCAGGAACAGTCACTGTACCTTTTATTGATGTTCAAAATGTGAATAATATTCACTGACAGAAAAGGGGAGGCAGATATCACATCAATATATATGACGGATTTTAAAAAACAGAGAATGTACCTACCATTGGCCAAAGAAAGAAAGAAAGAAATTACTACCTGGGAAGATGAAACTCTGAACCATATTACTGATATGCAGATTATTATACAAATATATATATACATGTATGTGTACTGCAGGTGAAAAAAGCAACTGCAGTCAGAAGCAGAGAGTAGATAATGATCCTAAGCCCTATCCTTCCAGGTATATTTCCTTTCAAGCTATTGGACTGCAGTGGTTTGCCAAATTGGAAATGACTTAAAGAAACATAACAACAGAATTGAGCATCACTCCTAATTTGTTTGCACCTGGATTAAGCCTGCTTTTAGTGAACTGCTTTAAAAACAATAAAGTATCTGTTAATGGAATTTTACTGGCTATCTACCTTGGCACTCACAGAGATCTATGTGCTAAGCCTGTAAATATTATATTCAGTTAAGCCAGAGTTTTGGGAAACAGGACTTTAGCAGTGGATTAGAGGTGAAGAAACTAACATGTTTACAACACACGTTTATGTAATGACAGACTCGTTAATACTGAAAAAACCTGCGTTAGACTAACTCCCATATATACTCAACTATAAGTCGACCTCATGTACAAGTTGAGGGCAGGTTTGGGCCAAAATTATGGATTTTGTTATGACCCGTGGATAAGTTGAGGGATGTAAAGGACGAAGCAAAGAAAAACAATGCCAAAGAACTTACAAAATCCCAGCAGGTATAACTACTTGTGCTCATACTAAAGGCTTGTTGGATGAGAGAGTAGAAGGGGGCCAGTGCTTCCAGGGCAGATTAAACTTTTTTCTTTCACCTGGGGGTGGATCTATCTATCTGTCTATACGAGGTAAAATGCAGTACTTACATTGACCAGTGGATAAGTCAACTCAAGGTTTTTGGGTCAATTTTTTAAACTAAATTTCTAGACTTATGCATGAGTAATACAGTAAGTTGTCTTACAAGCAAGCTGCACATTTTGTAAAATACTCAGAATTTACAAAGTTTACATAGGGAATAAGCAGCAATTTCCTACATCTTAGTTAACTATGCTGTTGTCAACAAGGGAAATTTAATGATATTGTTTGAATAAAACCCTACTGATGTATGCAGCTGTTGAACTAGATAAACAGATCAATTTATTGGCACTAAGAGCACTATACAATTGGAGCTACTTTTATTTATAGCACAATTAAATATGTTTAGTGACTGCACAGCTAGGTCAGGCACCAAATGGCTATTAACAAGTAAAGTTTGAAAGTTAACCATCCTCATCCCTGGTCATGCAAGGAAGATTTTTCTAATTAAGTGCATTAGCTCTGATAATTGTTTCTTCCCAGCACGAAGCAGAACATCCCAGGCACCTAACTGAGGAAAGAACAAGAAAGAAGTAGGGCTTTGAAAAGCTCCCAGTTTAAATAAGGTATTTTTCCAACCAGACTTCTAAGGAAACATTCTAGTGGGCCTATGAAAATTCTTCCAAGCTTTGCTGTAGAAAAGATGCTAAAAAAGAGGTATACAGGTACTGTATTGCCAAAGAAAGTGATATATGGTAGCTGCTTGTTCATTCTAAAATCTGTTTGTAAAAAATAAAGGTAGGTCAAATAGTAAAAAACATTAACAATTTTAAGCACATCCTAAAACCTAACTTTTGTACCAAACAGGTTTAAGCTGCACTTTATCTGAATTTATTATAAGCTCCCTGGATATCAAAGTGGGAGAAAGGTAGGACATAAATTTGAAAAATAAATATGAGCATCCATTTCAAAATAACCTAGGTGGGAGAGCCAACATGGTGTAGTGGTTGAATGTTGGACTACAACTTTGGAGGCCCAGAGTTTGATTACCAGTCCTGTCGTGCAACCTACTGCGTTACCCTGGACAAGTCACACTCTCTCAGCCTCAGGGGAAGGCAATGGCAAACCTGTTCTGAACAAATCTTGCCAGGAACCCCCAATGATAGGGTTGCCTAAAGGTCAGCATAAGTGAGAAACAACTTGAAGAAACACCACACACACACACACACAGAGTGGGTAACTGTGGACTACATAATGGGACCCTAGAACTGCAGTCCTCCCCTACACACACATTACCCAGCACCCCAAACTGAGCCTCTAAAATAACAGTAACTGCAGTGAGCAGAGCAACTTCTATAAAGATGTTTTCAGGCAGGATAGAAACCTGTGAGACTCTCCCCATGAAGATGTAGGGCCAAAGAGAATGAGAAGCTGTACTCACCATGGTCATTCTAGGATGGCAGGGAAATCGATCCACTTCCACTGGGTTCTTCCCATGTGCACCATCCTCAAGGCAGAAAAGATAAAGGGAAGAATCCAGTGGGAGTGGATTGATAGACCCTGCCATCCTGAGAATGTTCTTGCACAACTTGCACTACATAGCTCCCTCAGATGCTACTCAGTTTCAACAGCCACTGCAGCAGCAAAAGCCATGGAACATAAAAGACATAATTTCCAAAGGGTCATGAGGGTACTCAATGCACCCTATCCATCCAATGAAGCAGTTCTCTTTTTCTCTCGAACAACTAGTGGCAACTAGGGAAGGGACAAGCAGGATAGAATAAGTTTTACTATCATTAAAAAAAAAAATCCAGACACACAGACAATGAAGAGATTACTACTCAAATTAAGAAAAAGCAAACAAAGGATTAGCCTAGAGTTAGACTATTCAACAAAACAAAAGGTTGGGGCATTAAAAGACAAAGTTCAAAGGATAATCTACAACCACACCAAAACTTCACCTTCTTTCAACAATCTGCTAACAGCTAAAATGAAAAGATGCAGGACATAACTGACTAGAATGTGCCCTTGGTAACCACTGAGGCTTGGTTTCAGGACGGCCACTACCCATGAATACCAAACCTGCTCAAGTCCTATTAAATACTGTGACATGGCAGGTGTTCCTTATATAAAATGAAAAAGGTTTGCATTTCAGAATATCTGTCTATTCAAGCCATTGATGCTTGGATCCATCAATAGGAGTCCATGGGTACAGAATTCATGGATACGTAGATCAACTACACATTAACTTCACTGAACTTACAAAATCCCTCCCCAAAAGCACTGTGATGAGAAATTGTTGGTAGATTCCTGCCCAAGGCTGCATGTTAGAGTTGGCAATGAGTAAAGCCCAGCTTCACTCCACAACATACCACTTGGCATTTTCCCCACCCAGATATGAAAACACATTATTTGCCTTTTCCCCACTTGTTCTGATAGCTGAATAACCAGCGCAATACAAAACACCTCCAAGTGTGCCATTTCTCTCCAGATCTGAATCAAACCAATCTGGAGGTGGAACAAATTGGTCTAAAAGGGCTTACTGTCTTCTGAATTTCAAATCAGACATATAGCCATAGTTTTTATAGTGTAGTGGGTTTGTTGTTGTATGCCCTCAAGTCTCATCCAACTTAAGGCGGCCCTAAGGCGAACCTATCATGGGATTTTCTTGGCAAGTTTTGTTTAGAGAGGCTTCCAATTGCCTTCCTGAGGCTGAGTAAATGTGACTTGCCTAAGGTGCCTCAGTGGGCTTACATGGAATAGTAGGGAATTGAACCCTGGTCTCCAGAGTCATAGTTCAATATTCAAACCACTACACCACGTTGGCAGCCAGGCCACACAGCACCAAACACTGGAGTAGCTGTTTTGATGTACTGCTATAATATTTCACTCTGCGTTCAATAATTCAATCTTTTGCAGTTGAAAGAATACTTATTATCTGGTAATAGGCAGCCATTCATTGTACATCATCTTGGTTTCCACACTGTCTAAGGGACAGATTGTTTACAAAGTTGTCCCAAGCTGCATGTTCCATTCAAGAAACTATTATTTGAGGGCTAAAAAAGAGAACCATCTAGTTATTTAAAAAAACTGCATCAATTTAGTCAGGCTATGATTACCAGCAAATTATATCCTGTAGAAGTTTGGTGAGCAGTTTGTTTTTTTTAAAAAAATCATTTAGGCAAGTTATACTTAACTGAACTAATGAGATCTACTGTTCTGCTTCCAGGAAACTGTCTCCAGATCTACTAGTGGAGAGGGGAGTCTAAACTCATACTCTGAAGAAGATGATTGGTGACTTAAATATTATTGAAATAGAGCTGGCTGATTCAAGCATTCTGCCTTTAAAATGCTCATGATTGAGAAAGTTCTTTCAGAATAGGCTTGCATGAACCAGCCTGCCATACACCTGTTACATGAACCAGCCTGCCATACACCTGTGAATGTGAGTGAGAAAGAGAAGGGGAAAATGTGACAAGCACAGGCTTGAAAGTTATATGCATGATTGAAAACATGTGAAATAAGCACAATGCACATAATCTGAATTAAAGACTGGCTTTTGAACAAGTTCTTTTGGTATCATCACTCAGGATTCTACAATAATTAAAAGTTGAATCAATTGTCTTGCCATTTGTCTTTGTCAACAGCTGATTTACTGTTATACTTTTTAAAGTCAAGATCTACCTGGCAGCACACTAATTTAATTGGAAATGTACTACTTCAATCTTTAGCTGAAACAAGACAGATTTCTGCTCACTTTTCTTGATAGATGTTGTTGACCATGCGTGGAATATAAGTTTAAATTTGCTGTTCATTAGTTTCCCACAGCTGTTGCTACTATAGTATCTATCTAAATTCAAAGACTGGAATTAGATCAGTGCACAGGGTTTTGCATGTTGATTGTTAAGGAGGATTACTATCTTGGCAACTTGGTCAATTACTTGACCAACTTTAACTCCAACATATTCAAGAACTTGCAAAAGGTAGTTCAAGTTCATTAGAAAAAATTTATGCAACCAAAAAAAAATAGCATGTTTTGACTTGATGGGGGGTGAGTCACAATGAACTCAGGGTCTTTGCAGCTGCCAGAAATAGTGCAAATTGAGTCCACTTGAACTGCCCTGGCTCAGTGCTAAGGAATCATAGGAACTGCAGTTTATTGTGGCACCAGAGCTCTCTGGCAGAGAAGGCTCAATGTCTCAGAAAAAATACAGTTCCCATGATTCCCTAGCACTGAGCCAGGGCAGTTAAAGTGGACTCAATTTGCACTATTTCTAGCAGCCCTCAGTGCACCTTACTATTTAGTACATATACTTAGTATTGTAGGGCTTTGCTAAAAATGAACTATTGGAATCACATATACAATAAATTCTCTCTAAGGGTTTTAATGTAATTCAAGGAGATTGACACTGAAAGATGTTTTAAGGCAAACATGCACAACTTGGAAGTAGGCAAGGGCCAAAATTAAAATCATCCAACTTCTTTGGGATGCAGATAGGTTTAAATTAATTATTATAATGATTTATTATTAATGACTAATTAATAATTAATTAATAATTTTATTAATAATAATTACAATAATTATATTAATTCTTTATTAATAATTAATGAATATTAATTACTAATACTTAATTACTAATCACTTAATCACAGATACTTAATAATTAATAATTAATATTAATTCCATCCTCCGCCACCACCGCCCTGCTCTTTCTTGGGAGAAGGCCAAGCAGCAGAGGAGCCTTGAGCAGGGTGATCAGATGCCATAACCAGAAGGGAGGACAAGGCACCACAAAATGTAGGACATTCAAGAAATATATAAAAACTGAATAATGGTAATAGCATATGAGCCATTTACTTTTTAAAAAAATAGTCCAGTTTTAAATGCTGCTTTAAAATTTCTTTCCACCTCCCAGCTATGAAATGTTTGGGGGGGAATGAGAAAGTGTTGGGAGGAAGGGACTGCAAACATATTAGGTGATGCATTCTAGGGTATATACAATTTGCAGCCAAGTAAAGTCACACACACTCTCAGCCTCAGAGGATGGCAAACCCCCTCTGAAAAAACTTGCCAAGAAAACGCCGTGATAAAGTCACCTTAAGTCAGACACAACTTGAAGACACACACAAGCAACAAAAAAAGTTTGCAAGTATTTCACGGGTAGTACCTGGGAATGGGAGCCAGCGTGGCATAGTGGTCTGAGCATAGGACTCTGGAGACCAAAGTTTGATTCCCCACTCTGCCATTAAACCCCCTGGGTGGCCTTAGGTGAGTCACATGCTCTCAGCCTCAGGGGAAGGCAAGGGCAAACCTCCTCTGAACGTATCTTTCCAAGAAAACCCCCTGAACCCTTAGGGTTGCCATAAGTAGGAAACAACTTGAAGGCACACCACGAAAAACAACAAAACCTCAAGAAAGAGCCAGTGTGGTGTAGTGGTTTGAGCGTTAGACTATGGCCCTGGAGAACAGGGTTTAAATCCCCACTTGGTCACAGAAACCCACTGAGTAATTTTAGGTAGGTCAAATTCTTTCACCCTCAAAGGCAGGGTCTGGCAAAACCACTCCTGAGGAAATCTTGCCAAGAAAATCCTGTGATAGGGTCACTTTAGGGTTGCCGTAAGTCAGAAGCAACTTTAAGACATGCAACAATAGCTACATCAGACTGTGAAGCAGATGCAAAATATATATGATTTTCTTCTTCCATTTTGTTGCTGCTACTTTGGAACCTGTATAAAGGAACCTTGTGGTACTTTAAAGACAAACAGAAAAAAAAATCTCTGGCATAAGCTTTGGTGGACTCGTGCAGACCTGATGCTGATCCGATTTGAAAATAGTGTTTCAGTCCTTTTTCTCCACAGCTTTCCTTGGTTTCCTGATTGGTCTGTGGCAAAATCAGAAATTTAAAACTACCAGCTGTGATGTGAACTCTTTTCTTCATCTGCATTTCTTTTAATTTTTGTAAGCTGTCTTCACTTTCCATCTAAGAGGGAAAAGACTGCTGCTGTATGCCTTCAATTTATTTCTGACTTATGGTGACTCTTAGGGACCCTATCATAAGGTTTCGGGGACTGAGAGAGTGTGAATCAGGAAAAGTCATCCAATAGTTTTCCATGACTGAATGGAGATTAAAAGCCTGGTCTCCAGAGTTGTACTCAAGCACTCAAACTATGATGTGTGGTGATGTCCTCTCGATCCCTTTTCTAATGAAGGACATGGTTAGGTGTGAAGCGGTGTTCTCTCAGTCCCTGAGATTTGGAGAACATGGGGGGGAGGGTGTGAGGTGATGGTGTCTGAGGGTCGCCCTAAGTCAGAAACAACTTGAAGGCACAAAACAACAACAACAACCCATTAGAAAAGGCAGGGTGGAATAAATGTTTAAAGCTGGAGTCCAGAGTTTGAATTGCCTCTCCAACCACTAGGTGATCTTGGATTGTCACACACTCTCAACCTCAGAACAAGACAAGGCAAACCCACTCAGAACGTAACCTTCCAAGAAAATCCCATGACAGGATCGCTATAAATCTAAAATGTTTTGGGAGGAATATAAAAATAATGCATAAGATTGCCATAAGTTGAAGTTGACTTGGAGGCAACGAACAACAAAATGCTACTTTTAGAACCCAGCCTGAATCTGATGCCTCTTGGGGCAGGGGGCTGGGGGCCTCAAGGGACGGGAAGAAATGTGTGAAAGCCCCTTGCCCCTCTTCTTCTCCCTCTTGCTCACTACACCCTCTCAGCCTCTCCTTTCCCCATTCCTTGGAGCCACCAACCAACTCCCCCAATATCGTCACAATTGAGGTTATTAATTTTTGTTCTTATTGCTCTACAGGCCTCTCCTCTTGCTGCAGTTTCTTCCTACCTGGGCTGCCCAAGGTTTCTGGGGTGGCAGAGGTGAGGCCATAGCAACTGAATGCTATGTGAGCGTTCGCATTGTTACAGGACAGAACAAATTCAGAGAACTCCAGATAGTGAAGACTGAACACACCTTTCCAAGTTGAATACTCAAGAAGGGATTAATTACATTTTTGCAGCATACTATGTGTGTTAATGGTCCCAACGTCCTCATCTCAAGGCTATGGTCCAGATGATGAGCATCTGGAGGACAAAGGTTCTACTGCACCACACAGGCAGATGCATGTTTCTGAATGAACCAGCACGTCCATTCAAATGCCCTGCATTACACCAAAAGATGGATGATTATTAAAAAGATTGTGGGCCTATGTGCACTGACCGTTTAACGTGGAAATGCAAAGAAGGAAAGAGTGAATGGAGAAAGACGTGACCAGGATGGTCACACAGAAGACATCAGTGGTGCAGACTGTTGAGATAATATGTCCTTACGAGTGTTGAAAACATGGGAAATGAATGGGTTGGGGTGGAGAGGACAGGAATCAAGAGAGCTAATGCTATTTTTAGAAGGAATGGAAACTAAATGCTTCACTTAACCAAGGGACAGAAGCTGAAGGTTAGTCAACTTCCACTTTCCTCAAGGTTATCATCAGGCTGTGTTTTGAGAAAGGATGAAAATCAAGATGAACAGAACCAGCCTGCAACAATCTATACAAACGTACTAAGTAGTCAATTCTGCCCCTTCACTGACAGGAGGCTCCTTGATCCAGCGGAGGCTTCCATGACTAAAAAGAGGAGATATTGGACCTTTACAAACTGCCAGAAATAATGCAGCTTGAGGCCACTTTAACTGTCTTGGCTCAGTGTTAAGGAATCATGGGAACTGTAGTTTATTGTGGTACCAGAGCTCTCTGGCAGAGAAGGCTTAATATCTCAGAAAAAACTACAATTCCCATGATTCTCTAGCACTGAGCCAG